TTTAACGGAGCTTCACCCTTGTTGCTCAGGCTGGAGTGCAATGGCGTGATCTCGGCTCACCATAGCTTCCTGCCTCAGCCTCCCATGTAACTGGGATTACAGGCATGCACCACCACACCCGGCCAATTTTGTATTTTTAGTAGAAACGGGGTTTCTCCATGTTGGTCAGGCTGGTCTTGAACTCCTGACCTCAGGTGATCCACCCACCTCGGCCTCCCAAAGTGCTGGGATTACAGATGTCAGCCACTGCGCCCGGCCAAAACCATTGATTTTTAAATAGTGTTTTTCACTGGGCCAACATAAAAAGATGAAGTTCCTCGGGAAACTAGCTATTTAAAAAATTTGAGGAGACTGGATAAAGAAAAAGTAGGAAAATTAAAATTTGAATATTTGGTTATCCTTTTATGTGTCTGCATAGGAACTTGACCTGCCAATTTTGAAAGTGGCTGCTCCAGAGATTGTGTCTGGAGTATCCGGAGAGTCTGAGCAGAAGCTGAGAGAACTATTCGAGCAAGCTGTGGTGAGTCAGTTAATGACTAATGCCAGGTGGTCAGACGCTCCCAGCTTATATTAAAGATCCTGCTTCTTCTGTTGCTAGTATTTGTTAACCCACTCACTAGCCATTCTTTTATTAAATAAACATGGTAATTTGTTATGCATGATGGCTAAATATTCAAAGTAGATTTAGTGATACCAGCTGTTGGATAAGTAACCCTTTTCATTTAAAATCAAACATAAATTTAATTGGTTAGAAATTCTGTGCTGTCATACCCTGTAGTCATATGTTGAAAGTATATTATCCTTATGATAATTTCCACTCACTTTTACTTTCCTCAAGTTTGGCCTAAAAACTTGTAAGCAACGTAAAAATTATCATTTAGGATATTATAAAAGCAACCATAAAAATGGCAGAATAAATTATCATTCCTTACTAGTAAATTAGGGTGATAATAATACCCAAATCTCATGTGGCTGAGACTGTTAAATGAGAGACTTCCTTTTTTTTTTTTTTTTGAGACAGAGTTGCTCTGTCACTAGGTTGCAGTTATCTTGGCTCACTGCAACCTCCGCCTCCTGGGTTCAAGCAGTTCTCCTGCCTCAGTCTCCCAAGTAGCTGGGACTACTGGCGCGCACCACCACGCCCAGCTAATTTTTGTATTTTAGTAGAGACGGGGTTTGACCATGTTGGCCAGGATGGTCTCGATCTCTTGATCTTGTGATCCACCCGCCTCGGCCTCCCAAAGTGGTGGGATTACAGGCGTGAGCCACCACGCCCAGCCTAATGAGAGACTTCTTATAAAACCTTTGATATGGTACCTTGCACACAGCACAAGCCCTGTAAATATTAGCTGTAAATTATTTACACTTGAGCAAATATCACCACTGTGTTTAAAACTAAAAAATGGTAAAAAGTTTAATTTTATGTCATTGTTAGCACTGACAATATATAGTAAGCTGATGAATGTCCGATACAACTGCTAGAAGCCTATGTGAAATTAGAAGAGAAATTTAAGCAGTAATTGAGAAAAAAAATTTTTAATAACAAGAATAGGTAGTCCATCTACTTGGTTATAGTATGGGCTGGCATAGAAAGAGGTGTGGGCAACACTAGGAGGATGAAGAGAAAAAGGGTGGAAAGGCAGGGTGGAAAACAAAGCTAAACTCTTTCAGGTGCTACCTGTTTTCCAAAACGTGGTCGATTCCATTGTTAAATTGGCATGCATAGCCAGAGACAAGGAGTAAATTTTGTGTGTATGGTAAACACAATGATCCGTAAAGGTAACAGACAAATGGCATCTTTAGGTTGTTGGTTCTGTGTTTAAAGCTCTCACTAAACCAGTACTGGGCCAGTAAAGTACCTCACAGTAGCTGCCCAGTAAATATGTGGCTTAGCACCCCACCTTTCCTGGTTCTCTCTTCCCTAATGAGTACAGGAAAGCATGTGGAAAAGAGAGCAAAAAGGTGAAATCCAATCAAGTGATACTTTGTTGAAAACTGTGCTTTCTTTAGGCCACATTCCAATGACCATCATTTATTTTTTTCCCCCCATTCAACTTTCCAGGTCACTGACAAGTACTGATGTGCTTGTTTTCTGACACTGTTGGTCTCTGTAATTTTACTCTTTTCTAACTGGATTGTGTATCTAGCAGTCATAGGCGTCTTTTGCAAACATTGTCATAAGGATGATTAGGGAAGAGAGCCAGTTACTGATAGGCTAAATATCTTTCCCTTTAAAATGTGGTAGTTCCCATGGTTTTGAGATGCCTTAAGTGAGGCTGACAGCCTTACTTAGCATAATCACTGTCACTCCTAACCATTGAGTAACTGATTGAGTAAAGTGATTTAGATTATGAATGTAGATATTTTTCTTCAATTTTTTTCATTTTAACTGATCCTTATCTCTTTTGTAGTAAAATATATATAACAGAATTTACCATTTTTTAAGTTTTTATAAATTATTTCATTTCTTTCATGATGATTTAGAGGGACCAATACAGATATTTCAGAAATAATACCTGGCAGTTTTCTAACCAGTTGAGTAATTTGTTGCACAATAAGCCACCTCACATCTTTCAGCAAGAAATACATTAAATTTGAATAGTAAAGGCACTACACAATGAATTAGGACACAATTTAAATTTGTTTTAAACGTTTCTTTGGGGAAGAGGACACTACACTTCTATTCAATGAAAA